CAGAATTTGACGGCAGAACAAAAGCGCATTGTAGGATTCTTCATGAGGATTAGTAATCATCAGGAGGATTTATAGTAACTAGGATTAATCATCACTAGGATAGGTAATCGTCAACAGGATTAGTAATCGTCAATAGGATTAGCAATCATCAACAGGATTAATCGTCACAAGGATTAGCAATCATCAGTAGGATAAATCGTCAATATGATTAATCGTCAATAGGATTAGTAATTGTCACTAGGATTAGTAATCATCAACAGGATTAATCGTCGCTAGGATTAGCAATCGTCAGTAGGATTAGTAATCGTCAACAGGAGTAATCGTCACTAGGATTAGTAATTGTCAACAGGATTAATCCATTCTCTTTGGTTCTTTCGGTAAAGTCACGTAGTTAGAAATAAAATAAAAACAAATCACGACGTTTCGATTGCAACACAAGCAATCATCATCAGGTGGGAAAACCACAGCAAGAAAAAAAACAGGATTAATCGTCAACAGGATTAATCGTCACTAGGATGAGTAATCATCAGTAGGATTAATCGTCAATAGTATTAATCGTCAATAGGATTAGTAATCGTCGCTAGGATTAGTAATCGTCAATAGGATTAATCGTCAGTAGGATTCATCGTCAATAGGATCAGCAAAGGCGTGTGGGGTTCAAGCCTCCACAAGTCGGCATGGCTCTACCAAGTGTCATTGACAAATAGATATCTGCCCTGTCAACAATCGACACAGCATCTTTATTTACACTGGAGGAATCCGAAGAGCTATAAAGCTCTTTTTTCACATATGTCCAGTCAGGCTGGGTCAGAAAGTTACAACAAACAATACAAAAAAACACGATAGCAGTGCAAAGTATAGGAAATGTGAGCAAATCACGTTTTTATTTTTGTATTTTACTGAGTAATTAGCTTATCGTTTTAGAAGTGACTGAGCCACAAATGATCGCTCAACAAAGTGACTTTTCACATGATAATGTGAAGCAGCCAAATCATCTAAATAATCCTAACGCATGTTTCTAAATGTGGAGGGAACAATAAGAGGACCCGGAGAGAAAATAGACACGACTATGGGGAGAACATGCAAACTCCAAATATACAGGCGTCAGGGTCAGGATCGAACCCCCAACCTCCTGCATACCTGGCGAGGTCATTAACATCTCACCACCCGAGTGGGTTCCCGCTCGATTGAGAACGCGGCGGCCACTCATTCCCCATTAACATTTCCGGGTCAGTACTGAAAACTCCACATTCCAATGGCAAGGACTTTCCATGGTACAATCACTGCTGACTTTCCCACAAAGTGGTACTACACTTATTGTATTGGCCGCAGGGGGGAATGATGGGCTGGTACGAGCACCAATCGGGATATGAACTCCGATTGCCAGCTGTGCTGTTGTTCTCATTGCTGATGTTGTTTTTTTTATTGTAACTTGTGATTTGCACAGATTCTTCTGGGTATTAATTTAGTGTTGTTCTATGTATCTAGGATGCATACCGCCATAGAATGTGGGAAAAATAGAATGTTCCGGTATGCATCTGGAATGCAAAACATTGCTTCTACCGCGTAACACTGTTCATAACAAATATGATTGTTGCAATTCATTAATTAAAAAAAATACAACGTCATATCCTCTTGATTTGTTTGGTGTGCAGCCTGTGCGTAACATGAATGAATGTGCCTTTATAATATTATTGATTTTATAGAGACATTATAGAATTTGGCTTCTTTGCAACTGGAAGATAGCAACAACAATAAAGCCACACAGCCTCACAAATTCTATTAGCACCGCCATATGCTTTATTAAAGAAGATATTCCCATAATCTGTTCATACGCAGTGCATAGCGTGCAAATAGCACATGAAAAACAGTGTTATATCCTCATTTAAAAGGAATTGCCGGCACTTGCCGATAAAAATCAGCAGATGGCATTCTAATAGAGAGCTGTGCTAACATTCAAACCATAACACGCGCCATTAATTGCAGTTTTATGGGCGTTCGGCCTTCACCTGTGGACGTGCAAAGCCAGCAATAATTATGGTAAATAACCAGCAGTGCATGACGGACCATGGGAGGGAAGCGCATAAATCCACTTTGCCATTATTATATATAACAAAAAAATCAATGCCTTCATAACGATATAAAATAGTCCAGCACAAGCGATGAAGCTGTAGAGCTTGCCACAGACTCCAACTGTTCACGAAGCTCTGAATGCCATACTCATTGTGTGATATACACATTCAGGGGTTCTTGGTTTCAACAGAATTATATATATATTCCCCCCCCCCACCCATTGGCCAAACAAGCCATATTTTAATACCAATATGAAAATGTAATATTTAAATATATATCAAAGCTTAACGACTGCATAATGGTTTCATCCATAATTAAACAGTAATGCCGTGTGTGTATATATTGTACGTGAATTATTTTACAGCGAAGGGAGATCCTTTCTGAATGCTTAAAGTTGTTTGATTGTCTTTCCGTCTATTACTTCAATAAGGCAATTTCAACATGCCATCATCATCATCATCTCTATGGTGCATGTCCTTTTATGTTTAAAATATGTTTTTTTATTCACCACCCAAATAATCAGCAATGGCATCGCTATCAATCCTTATTGTTAACCGTGAGTAGAATTGCCACAAATCTCTGATGCTAACCCAGTAATTTAATTCAATGCGGCCTGAGGTCCCTACAAAACTAAATCTGAGCGCTTTTTTTTATTTCCCCCCCAAACTTCTTGTTATAATGAAAAAAAAAGCCAAATTTGATAAACATTGCAAAACAACTCAAGGAGGGGGTGGGGTGGGGGGGGGTACAGGTCAAAGCAATAAAGCAAAAGATTAAATTAAAAGATACATCTTAAAATAACAGGGTCATTGTGGATGCCAAAGCCAGGTCTCATTTACACAATGCAATCAGGTAACTGAATCATTTGTGGCATCTCAATTTCAACTCGCACCGGAATTGCTGCAGCACACGCGGCAGCACGATGGCAGGGGAGCACAGATAAATCAAACCTAATGGCTGGGCCGGCTGGCCTGAAGCAAGGGTTAATGCACTCGGAACGTATTCATTTTTTATTAATTACTGCCATGATGGTTGTATGTCTATACATTCTGCCTTTACCTGCTGCACATTCACTGTTCGGGCTTTATTGGTGATATTAAAGATAATTAGTAACTCCATTTTTGTTTAAGAGTGCCCGCTTAACAAGCCTACAATGGTGCGTTTGTGGAGGGAGTAGTTTCGCCGTTTGCTTTTTATTTTTATTTATTTTTCCAGGCAATGCCCACTGAGCTACGAAGCCCTCTTTCAGAAGCGACCTGACCACTAATGAAAGCTTAATGAAGTGGCTTATCACGTGAAAATGCATAGTAGCGAAATCCTCTTAAACGCGTGATGTTGATTCTAAACGTGGAGGGAAAAGCCAGAGGACCCGGAGAAAAATCCACGCGACCACGGGGAGAACATGCAAACTCCAAATATACAGGTGTCAGGGTCGGGATCGAACCCACGATCTCCTATATACCAAGCGAGGTAGTTAACATCTCGCCACCTCGGCACCCTAGTTTAAGTCCAGTGCGCACACTTCTTTGGAGCCAGTGGTTAGAAAGCTATTTACTCGCTCTTCGCTGAAGCCCATCGCAAGGCGGTTGAAGCCTATTGCAAAGCACAGAGACAGCCAAGAGCATTGACGTTTCACTGCATTCATCAAATGCGTGGCCTCGCCTGCCTGAGTATAGAAGACACACCTTGGAGTTTCTGCACGCATCTTTTTTCCGCTCAACAAACAACACCTCCAAAAGCATCACACCAAATAGATCGATCTCGTGCATTATAAACGCATCGAGATGGGATTGCAATAGCAAAAGAGCACAATGTGTGGTCGCAAAAAATTTGAAGTGTTTGGCCAGCAGCTCATGTTCATCTTACAGAGTATTTCATATTTGTTGACTATTTTTGTGAAAACTCCCCGTGTAATTTTTTTGTTGGTCAGTTTTGGTAACCGGTTTACTGAGCTAGTTTTAATATTTTAAATGTGTATGTGTGTATATATATATCTCGCCGAAATGATTCTCAGCAACTGAAACAAATATCTAAACATTGGACAAGAGAAATAAAGCGTAAAGATAAATACGTAAAGTCATAACCATCTCAGATCGCTTCATGACGAAAGGAAATAATTTGCAAAACATCGTTATTAGGTTCTTCAAATTGAACCTAAAACAACAGCTATGTACAAAATATATTTTTATTATTTTATTGTTTCCCTTCTACGTGACTTTACCGAAAGAACCAAGAATATGAATCCCTGCAGTCACGAAAGCTTTAAATCAAAATTTAAGCTGTGTACAAGTCAGAATCCTGTTGCCTCACTCCACTGTTGCGCCACTCAAATTCCTGCTCCAGCAGTATCCTACCGCCACAACCAACCACCGCTCACAGCAACAACGCACCACCTTCGTAAGTTTATAAATGTGCATTTGCAACACGTAACCTTGAGCATTAATTATAGTGTATTCAGCACGAGAACACTGTAGTAGAGTGGAGAAATCTCTACAACGTCACGCTATAGGTGTGACCGATCTTGTTAGATCCCGCAAGATGAACGTGGTTGAGGCCTGGTTAGTGCAGTACTTGGATGGGTGACCACAACAGAGGGCCTTGTGACCACAACGGGGGCCCTTGTGACTGCCATGGGATCCTTGTGACCGAAACAAAGGTCCTTGTGACCGCACCAGGGGTCCTGGTGACCACAACAGCGGTCCATGTGGCCACAACAGAGGGCCTTGTGACCACAAAGCAGGGCCTTGTGACCACCATAGGCGTTGCTGTCATGCATTGTATTCGTGGGGCTGTGCGGTGACCAAGCGATGGCTGTGCCGAGTGTTCACCCTCGACGCCTCTGATTAGCACGGTTGGCTACGTACGGTGCGAAAAATGTTCAACACAAATACGTACATACGTACAACAACACGTGCTTTTTTCTCCAGGCAACTCCGGATTCCTCCCTGCACGACTTCTTGCAAAAAAGCCTGCTCGACGCAAGTTGTTAAAAAGGTGAATAATTGTAGATGTTGTTACTCTTACGACTCTGCGTGCTCAGAGCAGAGAGCACAAGTGAAATCGAAACAAAAATACACCGATTTTCTTTTTCGAAATTGTACTTTTTTTTATCTCCACCATCCATTCTCTGCACAATCCACCAGCGAGTGACTGACCGGGGCTGTGACCGTCAAAACTCGCTGCACAAGAGAACAACCCTTGACTAAGGAGACACTGCTCATTTTTCACTTGCCACCACCCCCCGGGGGCTTTTGAGCCTGTGATCACAGAGGTGGTGTCTTGGCAACTCGGCACAGGCATTAGCACAGTCACACGCAGAATAATGAAATGTAACCTTCCCCTTGAAATGTGATTTTACAGCGACAACATCATATGGGCGCTCGGGAATGCTTCCTTCTAGCCTTCGGGTAATAGAGCAACGTAACCCAGAAGACTTGGTATGTTTATAACTTTAAAGATCATCTTCAAGAGCAGACACTAATGTACGCATTATCCTCAAATCTTTAAAGGGTTATTACATGCATGCCCATGGACGCATGCACAGCCTGCACGGTATTTTAAAAATTGTAAAGTCGCAGCTCTGCAATTGCTGGCTCACGCCACCGCTGCCGGAAGGGGCCTCTGGTAGAGGGAGCTCTAGGAAGTCCTTCTCGACTCTTCCACGCTGGGCAGTTGTCGCGGAAGAATGGGGGGTACCCACTCATTACCCCACCGCATGTGCCCCTACCCGATCAACTAACTGTGGTGTACCGATTTGTACACCGCGGTGGCGAGATGTTAACTACGTCACCTGGTCTACAGGAGGCCGTGGGTTCAATCCCGACCCTGACGCCTGCTGCTGTATATTTGGAGTTTGCGTGTTCTCCCTGCGGGCGTGAGGATTTTTTCTCCGAGTCCTCTGGTTTCCCCCTCCACATTTAGAATGATCGCACGTTTAGAGTGTTTGGCTGCTATACATTTCTATGTGATAGCAAGTAACTTCGTTGAGCTATCATTTGTGGCCAGGTCGTTTCTGAAAAAGAGCTATATAGCTCTGTGGGGCCTTACCTTGTGAAAATAAAAGTAGTTCAGTATTAGTTTATACCCATCGGGGTATCACGTTAAAAATACATAAATAGATCACTTTCATCCGCAACGGAAACTATGTCTAGGTCATTCCGTCAATGCGTCATCAATACATGTACAGGCTGATTGTGCACACGTAAACGATGGGGTGATGCAATTTACATGAAGATAATTAGTTAATTGCAAAATACATTTTAAAGATGCATTCATAAGTCCATTAACATTGACCAAGATGCATGGACAGGTGAAGCAGAGCCTTTGCTTGGTCGCACCATTCAAGATGTACAGCGAAACCAAGACAACGGGACATCATGGCGAATTATTTAATACGCTATAGGCGTTTGCCCGTGTAATTGATGATAACAATTAAACGAATGTATCTTTCTTTCCTCTAGGGCTTCCAATGGAAAGACGATGGCGTTTGTGGTGGCATGTTGGTGTCTGGAAACAACTGCGCCACCTCAATGAGCAAGCCATTGCATGTATGCTGAACTTCTTTTGCACCGTACGTAGCCAACCATGATAATTGGAGGTGTGGGGAAAGCAGTTAATGCTTGAAGGCCTGGTACGTTCCCAACAAACTGGGCAGCCCGGTCTATTTGGGAGAGTCTTTGTAACTTGATTCACGAAACACAAAGCAGAGACAAGAGTCTTTATCAGTAAGCTTGAATACGTCAACTGCCCCTCAGTGTTCTGACCTTGTCGCTTAATTTCCTTGGGCGCATACACCTTGCAAGCACATTGGCACAAAAAAATATGAACTCTTCGTCATAAACTAAAACTATTTCATTCACCAGGTAAAGACCACTGAGCTGTTTTTGTTTAGAGGAAACCTGGCCCCACATGATAGCTCTTCGAAGCGGCTTATACCATCATATGTGGGAATTTATAGTAGCAGACGAATAATCATGGCAAACTGCATGTAATATATTCGCTAAATTAGATTTTTTTTTTGCCTGGGAAATGCAGGCTACATGCTGAATAATGAACATGATACAAATTACTATGCAATGTTTTTCTTCAAACACATAAAAAAAACTATAATTCCTTTCCGCTGATACTTTCTTATCAGGCTGGAGAGGTCAGTCCCAATGGAACAAAAAAAAGTGATTTAGCTTAATCTTTACGGCCTGTCCACTATGAATTGATTTACATTGTGTCTCCACTGAGCATTAATAATTAAGCAGCGACCGGTGAATTTAAATACAGTACGTGTATTCTATGAAATATTTAAAATTACGGCATAGTATATGTAGCAGATAAGCTGTCCTGTCAGAAAGATGGTAGAAAAGAAACGTGATCGCTATGTAACAAAAATAAAAAAAATACTTTTAAATAACGTATCACCATACAATGGACAATACACGGTAAAGGTGCAGCCCTGTAGTTGCTTTGCCCACTCCACTGTTGGCACAAAAGTTTGCACTGCAAGGAGCTCTATAATGCCCCCCATCCCCCCCCTCCAAAGAGGCTATTTGGCCTCATTTTCTACGCCGGCCAGATTTTTCGTGAGGAAAGAAGTGAAAGTATCCACAATTTCCCCCACCACGCAAGACCTGCAATAGACTGTGGTGTACTCATAATGCCCGGGTCGACAGAGGCGGGAGGGCGGAGGGTGGATTTAAGAGATTTTCCAGTTGGTTCAACTGCCGGGATTTTGAACCGGTGACCTCTGGTGCAAACCATGAAGCCACGGAAGCATCACGACATAAGACAGCAAATAAATTAAAATACAAAAGCCTTTAACCCCATTTGCCTAATCAGTATGCTCATTCGCGTGTACATCCTTCCCCCGATTAATCTGTAAAAACGATCTCTGTTCGACATGGACGAAGAGGCTGAAAAGCAAACGACCGTTTTAAGTTAAATGCAAACGAAGAAGCGACCGTCGATGCGGTAGGCAGGGACACGTTATGAACGGTACGTCTCAGATGCAAGCCACGTCTCGCCGCTCGCCCCAGATGATTATTATCAGAGGCTGCGGCTCTAAAATGCATCGCCTGTCCTCTAATGAGCAGACATCCTTTCCAATTCCTCCGTAGATCACTTGGACCCCGCTCCAAAGAGTTAAGGAGAGAGGAAAAAGAGGCGGTTAAGTCTTTGTGGGTGGGCAAGCATCACCAGATTTCATTATACCACTACTTCCTGGCAAATGGAGTGAGTAAAATAACCAAAGAAGCCGCCTTCTGAGTGGTGCAAGATTACGCATGCTGAGTGACAAAAAAAAAATAAACGGCATTCTTCAGCTATGGGGAGCAACAGAAAAACACGCAATGGGTTTAAAAGTGGCGTTTGCCATTACGTACGTATGGAAGCGTGCAAGAGGATTTATCAATCAATAAAACGTTTAATTCGAAGTCAGGTGGGAATCCATTAGGATGAAAACACATTTTTAAGGACACCTGGGCAATTGGAAAAATCGGCGATCGTTGCGCGCGTGTATTTATGTGCACGCTTGCAAAAACGTTAAAATGTAATAAGGTATGTCCTAGCGTAACGTGTCCAAGTGTCACCCAATGGAGCATATAAACGAATGTTCTACAAATGGTTCACGTATCCGATCTGTTCACATGTCCCTCAAAACCTCAGCCACCAACAAGCTGGATACACAACAGAATAATTGCAACTTTTAAGCATTTAGCGCAATGGCATTTCACTATTATTACTCTGATGTCGCCGTGACCCTGACCAGGGATAAGCGGATTGATAAACGAAGTACTCTTATGTGTACATGGCTTTCGACCATTACCCGTTAAAACCAAAAATATAACATTCTATCTATCTTCAACAAAATTACATCGTCTGTTCTTTGGATACTGTTTATTATAAAGCAATAATGAAGAGGACAACTGCTCTGCAGAACAGTTGAGTGGTAATGTACATGATTAATGTCAATATTTAGGAAGTAATACTTAGGTTTGATCGTTCATGTAGATAGAGTCTAATAATATTTAAATTGATCATTGTTATGGCAACAACAATGCAGCTTATGACATTGTTTTGGTTGTGAATGCTTTTACAAAAGCTAGACACGCAACCCCGCACTGTACAATACAGTGCCAAATAAAGATGTCATTGAAATCATGTAACAAAAAATATTGGAGGTATTACAAAGCATTGATTAGTCTCTTAAACAAGCATGTTTTTTTACATAATACATACATTGTATTGCATGTATAAGAATCAAAACATTTAAATGTTGTATATGATCCATCAGCCATTGGAGGCATTACAACTTATTGCAATAAAAAATGTATACATACAAAAAAATCGTCTTAAATTGAATTAATTACATGACTGAACTATGACAATATAACCATTCCACCCATAATAACCTGTAGAGTTTAAAAAAAAAAACCATAAAATATTATCACGCGATAAAACTCAGCCGCCGAGGCACTTAGACGTGGACATGCAACGCACAATGCGTTGCATACCGAGTGATTGATGGGTGCAAATAACACCGCAAGTGTACTGTGCTCCCCCTGTGGGTCCAGTGTTATCCAATACTTTGGGTAAGTGCTCACATTGTACCGTGTGCATTTTCTCCTCGGCTCAGAGTAAACGATGAAAATATCTGGTGCAAAACAAATCGGGCAGTTCCAAAAGTCACATTCGTACGAGCGCGTCGACATTTTCACAGGTCTAGCACGAGTCGGCGCAGGCAGAGGCAGTGAAATTAGCCGACAAAAAAAATGTAAACAAAGCGTGAGAGAAATTTGTTTAAAAAACATCCCTCATACATTATTGATGCATTTGCAATCTAACCACACGTGGCAGCAGTTTATGTTTCATAAAGGACATTGCTTATTTGAATGACAAAACCTGACAATCCGTAGTTTTTGTTCCACTTTTTTTTTAGTGTTTAAGCCGCGATATAAACACAGACAAAAACTCTGAATATGGCACAAAGCCATTTGCAGATTAAGGCGCAAAGCACACAGGCAATGCGATAAAATATTTCGAAGCAAATACTTACAAAATGCTAAAATGTTTGAAGCGAACGGTCATCAGCAATACTGGTTTATGCACGAGATAAATGTTGAAACAAAGTTTCACATTGCTTCCGTGAGCTCTACTTCCTTTTTTTTTCTTTTACGGTGGTGGCACAAAAGCTGCAGTGGCCTACACGACATTCCACTTATACATATGTAGTGGCATCGGTGGAGGCCACTGCATGAGACATAAGCCGGCCTGCGTGAGGCACGATCCGTGCGCGCCGCTCACACCAGCCACGTGCAGTGCCAGCCTCTGGCCGTTAGGGGGCGAGAGCGCCAGGAACGGCGCAGAGGTTCACCGGGGGCCATGGCACTCCAGGTGAACCCGGAGGCCTGGTGACCGGAGGTACCGGCCAAGGGGCCCCAAGGAGGGGGCTGGGCGGACCACGGGACCAGGACCAGGTCCCTCTCGAAGGCGTGGCTAGGGGCAGAGGAAGCCCCGGGACTGGCAATCTAAGCCGGACCCCTGAACGGGTCGAGGGGCTGCTGCTGCAAGACGGAAGACAGAAGCCGTAACCCGGAGAAGACCTGCCCGACTACAGGACCCGGACCCGAGCCAGAGTTCGGTCCGGGATAGCTAGCCCGTGTGAGCTAGGGTTAGCTACCCCGTGTGAGCTAGGGTTAGCTACCCCGTGTGAGCTATGGTTAGCTACCCCGTGTGAGCTAGGGTTAGCTAGGGTGAGCTAGGGTTAGCTACCCCGTGTGAGCTAGGGTTAGCTAGGGTGAGCTAGGGTTAGCTAGCCCGTGTGAGCTAGGGTTAGCTAGCCCGTGTAAGCTAGGGTTAGCTAGCCCGTGTGAGCTAGGGTTAGCTAGCCCGTGTGAGCTAGGGTTAACTAGCCCGTGTAAGCTAGGGTTAGCTAGCCCGTGTGAGCTAGGGTTAGCTAGCCCGGAGGAGACACCTCCCTAGGGTAGCTGATGAAGGGGCAGTAATACCCCTTCGTGTTTTATGGCTTATTGTGAAATAAAAGTGTCGCCTCCAAAGAAGTCTCTGCCTCCCTCGTGTGAACCACTACACATATACAAAACCCTTATACTTTGCATTGTTGAATCTCTGCGGCCATGCTCAGCCTACCACATGTTTAACCGTGTTTGGCACTTCATATTGGTCGACATTGGAACAGTAAACGTTAACATAGTAAATAAATGAATCCATTATATGTGTAGTGACTGACTCAGAGACACTAAGAGTAGGAGGCACTCTGTTTATTAACACGGCCTAACAGTTAACGCTTTAGTAACTACAGTTCCCAGTCAGGACAGCTGGTAGACTGCCTGACTGGCGACGCCGAGACGGTGAATACTCCAGCAGCAGCACGACGGGGATCCCACTCCAAACGACAGCCACGAGGTCCCCTCCCGGGGCCCCTCTTATACTGTCAGCGTGGCCTGGCTCCGCCCCTGGCCACGCCTCCTTCTGGAACCTACCAGCGGGTTCTCGATGTGCCCCTTCCCTAACCTTGCCCCTAGATCCCTCTCTGGTCTATCACGTGGCCTGGCTCTGCCCCCCAAGAACAGGAAAAGAATACACAGACTCCACTAAGAAAGGTGCCCAAGTTGGGAATCGAACCCAGGCCCTTGTTGCTACGAGGTGCCAGTGTTACCACTGCACCACCCCACCTCATCATTTAGCAGCATTCGTCAGCATCGACAAGTTTGGCTGGATCACAGGCGGAAGGTTGCCGAACTTGACCGCGGCAGATGAACCCACGTGCAACAAATGCCCCCGCTTAGGAAACACGGCCGTGACCTTCGAAGAGTGCCCACAAGTGTGTGTCTCACAGGAGAGAGATGAATGGTTTCCGATTCAGAAATTCAAATCGGCCCACGTATAAGGAGAAGTTAAATACAGAAGGGGACGTGGGGGAGGCAGGGGCAAGAGATTATTTTTAAAAAGATGAAATGTTGATATTGCCACTGGGGCATGTGTTTTTTGTTTCTCATATTAATCCCATGAAATATTGAATTGTCGCTGTGCGATGCGGTCCGATTGTGTTACTGAGCGCAAATAATATCCGAAGGGGTCAGAGGTTCAGCAATCAGAAGGCGCGCAAGTGGAAGTTCTAAAATTGCATCCTCTCTTTTCGGTGACATGTGCACTTTAAACCTTTTCTTCTCTGTTTTTGCTGCAATTGGTTTCGATGTGCGACAAACTTCCAAGCGACTTAATGAAATGTGTGCTCTGTGTATTGCAATAAAGAGTTTTTAAAGTGGAAAAGACCTCAACGCAGCGAGTGACTCTTGACCCAGCCGTGTCAAGCAGCGCGTCGGCAACTGTACCCTTTTAAAAGAAAGACATTTTAAAATAGAGCAATTGTGCTGCAAATAAAGTTAATCAGATAGAAATGCCATGAGGATACACGTTCATGTCAGTTTACCCTGATATATGGCAAGAAATATCTTAGCTTCTCATGCAAATAGTTGGAGTAATGTTGGCTAAAAAAATACAATCTGTTTACAAAAAAATTGTGGAAAACAGCAAGTTATCCAGAAAGTAAAAAGATGTATTGTTCATCTCCTACCCACTCACCACTAGTCCCCATAATGTTAAACTTTGAAAAACAAATCGCTTCCTTGTAAACAAACACGCTGAATGGAATTGTTCAGGATAACAAAATATTTTAAAAAAACTTTTTATCATCGATGTTTGTAATCACTCAAAGTAACGAGAAACAAAAAATACTTTGCAAGACGTCCCAAGCAGGAGGGAATGCTGCCGTGAACGTGACGGTTTTAGCGCCCTGGATTTGCAATGCAGAGGCCACTGGTTCGACTCCATCTCCGGCACGACGGTTGAGACAATGAGGGCGAGTTGCTTCTCGATTCACTGCCCACCGCCTCTGTGCACCCAGGGGCATAAACGCCTGCACCGCAGCTGGTCGGTCGTGTGTGGCGGGTTAAAAGTGCGGGCACTCCCACCTCTTTAAAGATGCCTGGCCAGCGTGAAGGAGGAGGGCAAATACCCTCCTCTTTCACGCTGGCCCTCCATGAGAGATGCAGTAATCGCAGGGCTGCTCAAACAACAAAGACAAAGATCCCCCTTGTAGCCTTATCAGACTGCTGGGGCAAGTGCTGTTAGAAGGCCAAAACGGCACACGAGGGGGTGGGTGTCCAGCACCACACTCGGCCGCCTTTTTCTCCCCAGTGGCGATGTTTCGACGCACTACAACCAGGTACTCCTTTGAGGCTGAGTCAACCTAGGGGAGGCCCAGGACCGGTTCAGATAATCGTAGCCGGTGTTGGCCGTGAGCGGGAATCGAACCCGGGTCGCCGAGTTCGTAGCGCAGCGCGCTAACTGCTGCGCTACGGCTCCCCACGGTGCTCAACAACCACCACCCAACAAGCAGGATCTTTACTTTTCATCAGAGGCTTTCCTGAGCAAATGTGAATTATTACTGCGCACAAACGCACCATTAAATAAATCCGCATGGAATATTAATTCCAAATTTACTACATGCCCCATTCCCCACCCTCCCGCCTCTAAAATCTAAGCACTCGTGTGTAAGCTTACAGTATTCTCTACAAGTGCACTCCACGAATAGCGATTTTTACAGAACCGCTGGACAAGTTTAGCAAAAGGCCGTCCCTCCGGTACTACTGTGTTGTCACTCTTTGTAGCTTTAAGCATAACTCTTTCGGATGATTATGGCCGAATGAAACTGTGCCTTGCCATGGCCTTGTCAAAGGGCCAATCAGCAATAATTAACATGTCATTTCGAGGTTAATGGGCCACCACATTGCACACGCTCATTCCATCAGCAAGTTACACTGCAGGCCATTATATCAGAGGAAGTTGTCTCTCATCACTCTGCTGTCGCCCAGTGCATCTTTAGTCTCGCCAAGACGCTTTTGGCGACGATTAGGGGTGAATGATCACTGGATCCAATGGGTAGTAATTGTGATAAGTGTCATTCCACAAAGAAATCAGTGCTCTTCAATCAGGCTTCACTCCTGCCAAGGCTATAATTTCGTCGCTCTACATCCAAACATTGAAATCTCCTTGGATTTTCAGTGACTACTTATACTTCCTCAGCTTAATACATGATGATGATAATAATCATGATGATAATAATCATCATCTTCATATGGGCAAAAATTAAAACCAATGACTTGGATGCATGCAGTAAGTCGGCTCACCTGGCCTCATCCACGACAGGCAA